TTTTTTTTTTTTCCTTTGTTCGTTTGCCTCTCACTGAATTTAATCGCGCTTCTCTGTGAGCCGAAGAATGAAACCAGCCATGGATTTTATCATTTATACGATACAGAAAATTAGGGAAAGGCCGGGGGACAAGTGGAGTAGCGGGAAGGAAATTGGAATGGGAGCGACCATCTCGAATATATTAATTACAGAAGAAATTTTGAGCTCGTAAAATACAAGGAAAAATCTATGGTAACGAACTAATATTATATAACTACTGTCAAGTACCCATATCTACTCTTGCTCGCGCAACAATAAAAAAAAAAAAAAAAAAAAAGAAAGAAAAAGAAACAAAAATCAGTACGAAAAAGAAATCGTACGTAGAAAAGGGAAGCTAGAGGTATAGATGAGAATCCACCACGAGCACGCAAATTGAATAACATGGTCCAACAAATATGGAATCGCTATAGCCGACGCAGTTGCGTGATACAACTCATTAAAAACACTTATCACTGAAAAAGATAATGTAGCTTTGTGACTTTCAACTATTTTCTTTTTTTGCAAATACCCGTGGTATGCATCTACATATCATTGGATAAGTTACAAATTACAACATTTTACTACAGACACATATTAAATTAAAAAAAAAAAGAAAAAAATAAAGATAATATCTATATCGTTACCTTCATTCATGGACTCAATATTGTCCATTATAGTCATATGTTCTATAGATCTTTTGCTTTCTTTTTTTGTGTATACAATTCACCTTTATCATATTTCCGCAATCCTGTGATTTGTTAGTAGGTACGTGATAATATTTCGCCTACACAAGGGTTCAGTTCTTACGACCGCGCTGTGAGTGTAAGCTTGCGCACAACAAATATTTCTTAACACACATCTTTTGAACGTCGAGAGATAACATTCTTCAATAATCACGATATGTCTTCTCACGGCGTATCTATCATAATATATCTTAAATTAGCTTCACGCCTGCTAGGCCGTTTAAAATTGGTCCACCAGCAGGTCACAGATCTCTACTGACATTGATTCCTTACTCGAACGTACAGTTAAACGGAACATCTACAAAATGAAGTTATGTATCCAATAAATAGGTTTATCAAATTTTTGCTTTAAGAAGTTTAGTGTTTATGAAGCAATATTTTATCTTGAGAAGATTGAAAATTACCTGCGCTTGTTTATTAGGTTCTAAACGTAAAAGACATCCTACTTGTTGTGCCCTCATATGTACTATTCCTGCACAGACGAAATTATCAGGATTCGGATCGATACCATCGAGTAATTGCATTCCAAATCCTTGCAATTTCGTGCGAACTTGCGTAAGATCCATTGGCTGTTGTGCCTTAAAAATCTTCTGTGAGCGTTGTTGATTCGCTCTAGATGTAAAATATAAGTTATTCATTCATTTATTATTCAATGTATTGTTAAACCAAACTATCTTTTGGCCAAGTTTCGTTGTATTTAATAAAATGTTAATGTAATAGTTTTAATGTAAAAACATAGTGAAAGCGAAAATAGAGAAATATTTCTTAGAATAAGTTACATACCCTCCAAGATTTTTCCACCGGGCAAAGAATGATTCTCCATTCATTTCTGTAGGCTCGAAGAATTTGTTGATTGTTAATGGTAATTTCATTGTTATCTTTTGTGGCACATTGTTATAAATAAAAGAAATGATCATGCTCGGTGTATCTATATAAAAAAAAGAAAATTAGGAACAAGTCAAATAATATAAAATAATGAGAATAATAAATTAATGAGAGCAACTACTAGAATATTATATAGCTTATCGTACCACTGTAGTCATCAATACATTCTGCATTAATCATTTGCTGTATTTGAGCACCAGCTTCCAACACGGGATCAACTGCCTTTACTTGTACAGCTAATTTTTGTTGATTTTCCTCGGACCAAGATAATTGTGGCTGAAAACTATGAAGAGCGTATTGAGTTTTATTTCCGTAAAAAAGACCAACACGTCCCAAGTTTTGTCTGAATTCCGATTTTACTCCAATTTGAATTAGATCATTTTCAAATAATACGCCATTATTCTTGCACACAAACCTACAAAATATAAAATTTAAAAGTTAAATTGTTCTTCTGAAGATATTTTTATTATTAAATATTTCCTATATTACATACTTTTTGGGATTATACGTATTTTGGGCACCGTTAGTAGCAACTTTGTTTGGCATATTATAAATATCACCTAATACATCAAGTAAAACTCCTGTATTACTCGTTGGTTGAGAAGATGGTGGTGTAGAAAGGCTTAATAAATCTGCCGATGTATTATTAACAGCTCCTGTTATACTGGCGGGCGCTTCCGCGTGATGATTAGCATTTGGCGCAGGACTTTTACTTTCTCTGATTTCATTCTCCGGAACTCGACCCGGTTTCTTTCTTTTCAAAACGGCAAGAATGGAAGATTCTCTTTCTGGGAATGCTGGCATTTCTTCTAAGACCGTAGCCTATGAAAAAAATTACAAATATTTAATTAACATTGTTAAACTTTAAAATAAAGTAAAATTAATTCGAGTATAACTTATTGTTTACCAAAACGTCACTAGAGGCAATAATGCTCAATTGAAGATACTCTGAAGCTCTCTGTTGCAATTCTGCATCTGCGCTACGTAAATTACTGTGTTGTCTGAAAACATCTTGAATTTGACTTCTCATTTCGGGAAATAGATTAACGAATTTAATATAGGTTGAGAGCAGCAATGCTCGAGTCATTGGAGAACATAAATGATACTGAAAAATAAAAGAATTAGAAATGCATGCGTGTTTAAATATATAAAAGCTTATGCTACTTACTTTGGAATGTAGTAATTGAAATTGAACAGCTGGAGAAGAGCGCTGATCACCAGCAATGAGATTTCCAAACTCTCCAAGTATATAACCACCAACTTTAACCATATTTTCGTGGCAAGCTGGTGCTTGTAAGGCCTAATAAAACAATCACAAATATTTATATTTTAAAATTTTATTTGTAATAGAATATTTAGATAAAATATATATACATGTAATTTTACATTATCTACCTCGAAAACAGTTTTTGCTGCATATCCTTGCACATCATCTCTATTGATGACAATTTGGATAACTCTGTACCATACCTCTTCCGAAACATAATCACCAGCTATCCTAATGAGATTTAAAATGACGTCAACATACCAAGTGTAATCGGTAGCATATTTTTCAGCTAGAATCGCCACTTTAAGAACCATTTCTTCTCTAATAGAATAATCAGCAGTTTCGAGGTAGTTCAACATTTCTTGTACTATTTCTTCTGCATTGCTCTTATCACACATAGCATACAAAAGATCAACAGCTTGTTGTCTAACAGATACGTCTTTTTCCATTTTCATTGATAGAATAACAACTTCTTGATGTTTCTTCACGGCTTCGTGCGACAGCTCTGATGTAGCCAAATGGCACATAGATTCAAGTGCTAAGTAACGAAGATTAGTTTCACGATTGGACAAAAACTGACCGAGTTGATTGCACGCTCTAACTGATAAAGGCAGTTCACTGTCGTTATGAATAATTAAACTAATAGCCTCGAATAATACAGCATTTTTAGCATTCGAATGTTGCACTTTTTTTGATTTTGGCGGTTCTTGAGCTTTGTTTAATATAGTTTCTAAACATTCATTTAATCTACCTCTTACTCCTGGATCTTCAGCTGTTGAAAAGTTAAGAATAAAATTATTGCCTTAATTATCTTAACATATTATATGATTTAAATAAAAATAATTTACCAGGTGGGGTATAGTTCTGTAATAATCGTAAAAGCTTAACAGATAGCCATGGTGCTGGCACAAAGTAATATGTATAATCTTGTAGGTCAGTGTAGCTCGATGTAACAATCTATTTCGATAGAATAAAAATAAAGCAATTATTTTTTAATCATTTATTGGACCAATAAATTATATCATACCCTGCTCAATCTTGAAACTGCTAAACTAACACATCCTTTATATTCGTCTGGATTTCTTTTTACAAGAGCATCTATCAAAGATGCGGCTGCGGTAACAACACCGAGATGTTGATCATTTAAAAGATGGACTATGCGCGAAGTCCATTCTCCACCAGGAACAACATCTGGTGCAGTACGCAATAATCGTAATAAACACAATGCCGCACTTTGTTTTACAACATCCATAGTATCTCTACAAACAAAAGATAATTATTCTTCGTTTCATAAATAAATACTATATAAAAATGAAATATTGATTACTATTACTACATACCCAGAAACGAGTAATTTTGGTATTTCATTGCCAAATGCTTCTGCCATTTCCTTACTGCCAATGTTAGCAATACATTGTAATGCAAGATTAACATGAATGGGATTCCGTGATGCAAGATCATTTTTTATACTTTGAATTATTAATTTAATGAGATCACTATTCGTATTTACTAAGACTGATATAAAAAGGTAACCCTAAAAGTAACAATAATAGTTATATTAAATTTCAACATAATTTATATGTGTATTATTTATTTCAATAGATTGCTTACAATTTGTTTCTCTGAATATTTGTTAGATGAAAGTAGATTAACAGCCTCCATGTGTCCAAAATCAATGTCATGACCAAGCAGAAAAATAAAAAGAAGCTTGCAAACATATTTCTTTTTTTGATAACCATCAAGTGTCTTATCTCCTTTGAATTTGCTACGAATATTTGCCAATTCTTTGTTTATTCTCTTTATTTCTGCCTCTTTGCTTTTGCCTAAAAGAATAAATAAAAAAGAAACAACTAGTTAATAATTTTAAGTTTTTGTACATTATTTCTGTAAATATGGAATTATTGATGATATACATTTACACATTTAATCTGTATCTATCACATCTATCACATATACACACATACACACATTTAAATATACATTTCATTATAAAAAATTATAATGGCTGTATGCCACTTGGACTGGCATCAAAGTACAGATGTATTGATTTGCTCTATAAGACTCAATTTGTTACCCTAGTTCTTATATAATTATTTATTACATTAAATAATAAATAATACAAATATTACATAGTTAACCCATATTTCAGTTTACATCCTATTCATATCTACGAAGATTTCTCAAAGAAACTGAAAGTGTTAGTTTTAATATTCATTTATTGTGTATTATGCCAAGTATTACATATTAGTGTTTGAAATATAAGCTATATCAGAAAGATATGCCTCTATCAGAACTCCGCCCCCTGTCTCCTACTCTTGACTGCCTTAAATACTCTGTGTGTCACATTAGTTTCAATGGCACCGTATCTCTTAATGGAACGTGGGTCAAAATTTTAATGATTCAAAAATTAACTTGTTTTCCTTCTTATCTGATAGTATAATAAATAAAGATATTATAATTAACATAAACTGCAAGTTCATTAATTTTTTAAAAAATATATATTGAAAAATATATAAATAAAAACTTTAGCTTACAATTTCTAATATCAGAAATGAATACTGCCAGTCCACGCATGCCATCTCCTCTCACAGCCGGCATCTTGTCTTCTTTTATTTAAAACCACCTGTGAAATAAAATACAATGAAAGAAATTTTTCTCATATTCATGAGAAATATAATTTTGATTTATAAAATTAAAATGTATATCAACATCTGTTTACAATCTATAACAATTAAATACCTCAATTACATATATGGTTATAAAAAAAAGTTTATATCAGACTATATTATGGATCATAAATAAATATTTGCAATTGTAAAATAGTGTTTAATAAATATAAATATAAATTTATGATATTAAAAGATATATATATATATATATATATATAATTAAAAGATATATATATATATGTACACATATGTACATATATGTACACACACACACACAGATCAATGAAACTCTTCATATCACTGTTTATGAGTTAATTTATGAAAAGTTACGTTGACGGCATGCGGTAGATGTATAGGGGGAGGCTCAAGAAAGTGTTCTGAACAATATTCATTGATTAAAAGTACTCGAACCAACAAGCCCTTTGGCCTCTTCAAGTAATTTGAGGCCAATTCAACAAAAATACACCAAATCCATGTTCCATATTAGCAAATAAAACCAGTATATTACACGAATGTTAAAAATCAAAGGGGTAAGTTGTGCGAAATAGAGACCTATTCTGCTCGAAAGTAAAATCGAGCGATTAAGCCGGTACCGCGTCCTAGATTTCCGATAGCAAACACATTTTGACAGCAGTGTGGTGCAAACGCTGATAGTGGGTCCTATTACGCGGAAACTCGTAAGATTATGCCGAAAAATCATAGCAACATTCACTAAGAAATCACTCGATAATCAATGTGTATCGATTGAGCAGGCAGAAGAGATATTTCGAAAGAGATAGATAGGTTGAACGATGGATTTTTGCCTTTGATGACCTGTCGTACGGGTTGCGAATGCAACCAGTGCGACTTACGTTTTCTGAGGAAAAAAGTTATCTGCTACGCATCTTAGTTAGTGGATCAGTTTTAGATACATACCAATCTGGGTTAGGGTAACGTTCACGCACAGCTCGGTCACGTACTCAGTAGGCGTGAAACTATTCGCGAGTCGGTGCCAGAGATTTCGTGGCTGTCGCCATTTGCAACCGCTGACTAGCTGACGGCTACCCGTCAAATGCCACTACGCCTGCGCTTTCAATGTTGCGCG